GATACTGGTTCTGTTGCTAATATTTGCAACTCGAAACAGGGACTACAGAATAAGCGAGCACTGGCCAAGGACGAGGTGACGATGCGCGTGGGAAATGGTTCCAAAGTCGATGTGATCGCGGTCGGCACGCTACCTCTACATCTACCTTCGGGATTAGTTTTAGACCTGAATAATTGTTATTTGGTGCCAGCGTTGAGCATGAACATTATATGTGGATCTTGTTTAATGCGAGATGGTTATTCATTTAAATCAGAGAATAATGGTTGTTCTATTTATATGAGTAATATCTTTTATGGTCATGCACCCTTGAAGAGTGGTCTATTTTTATTGAATCTCGATAGTAGTGATACACATATTCATAATGTTGAAGCCAAAAGATGCAGAGTTGATAATGATAGTGCAACTTATTTGTGGCACTGCCGTTTAGGTCATATCGGTATAAAATGCATGAAGAAACTCCATACTGATGGACTTCTGGAATCACTTTATTATGAATCACTTGGTACTTGCGAACCGTGCCTCATGGGCAAGATGACTAAAACACCGTTCTCCGGAACTATGGAGAGAGCAACAGATTTGTTGGAAATCATACATACAGATGTATGTGGACCGATGAATGTTGAGGCTCGTGACGGATATCGTTATTTTCTCACCTTCACAGATGATTTGATCAGATATGGGTATATCTACTTAATGAAGCACAAGTCTGAAACATTTGAAAAGTTCAAAGAATTTCAGAGTGAAGTGGAAAATCATCGTAACAAGAAAATAAAGTTTCTACGATCTGATCGTGGAGGAGAATATTTGAGTTACGAGTTTGGTTTACATTTGAAACAATGCGGAATAGTCTCGCAACTCACGCCACCCGGAACACCACAACGAAATGGTGTGTCCGAACGTCGTAATCGTACTTTACTTGATATGGTGCGATCTATGATGTCTCTTACCGATTTACCGCTATCGTTTTGGGGTTATGCCTTAGAGACGGCCGCATTCACGTTAAATAGGGCACCATCAAAATCCGTTGAGACGACGCCTTATGAACTGTGGTTTGGCAAGAAACCAAAGTTGTCGTTTCTTAAAGTTTGGGGCTGCGATGCTTATGTGAAGAAACTTCAACAAGATAAGCTCGAACCCAAATCAGAGAAATGTGTATTCATAGGATATCCAAAAGAGACTGTTGGATACACCTTCTATCACAGATCCGAAGGCAAGACATTCGTTGCTAAGAATGGATCCTTTCTAGAGAAGGAGTTTCTCTTGAAAGAAGTGAGTGGGAGGAAAGTAGAACTTGATGAGATAACTGTATCTACTCCCTTGTTGGAAAGTAGTTCATCACGAGAACCGGTTCCTGTGACGACTACACCAATTAGTGAGGAAGCTAATGATATTGATCATGAAACTTCAGATCAAGTTTCTGCTGAACCTCGTAGGTCTACCAGAGTGAGATCCGCACCAGAGTGGTACGGTAATCCTATTCTGGAAGTCATGTTACTTGACCATGATGAACCTACGAACTATGAGGAAGCGATGATGAGCCCAGATTCCGCAAAATGGCTAGAGGCCATGAAATCTGAGATGGGATCCATGTATCAAAACAAAGTATGGACTTTGGTTGACTTGCCCGATGATCGGCAAGCCATTGAGAATAAATGGATCTTTAAGAAGAAGACTGACGCTGATGGTAATGTAACTATCTATAAAGCTCGACTTGTTGCGAAAGGTTTTCGACAAGTTTAAGGGGTTGACTACGATGAGACTTTCTCACCCGTAGCGATGCTTAAGTCTGTCCGAATCATGTTAGCTATTGCTGCATTTCATGATTATGAAATTTGGCAAATGGATGTCAAGACTGCATTCTTGAATGGATTTCTAGAAGAAGAGTTGTATATGATGCAGCCGGAAGGTTTTGTTGATCCAAAAGGTGCTAACAAAGTATGCAAGCTCCAGCGTTCCATTTATGGACTGGTGCAAGCATCTCGGAGTTGGAATAAACGCTTTGATAGTGTGATCAAAGCATATGGTTTTATACAGACTTTTGGAGAAGCCTGTATTTACAAGAAAGTGAGTGGGAGCTCTGTAGCATTTCTAGTTTTATATGTAGATGACATATTATTAATTGGAAATGATATAGAATTTCTAGATAGCATAAAGGGATACTTGAATAAAAGTTTTTCAATGAAAGACCTCGGTGAAGCTGCTTACATATTGGGCATCAAGATCTATAGAGATAGATCAAGACGCGTAATAGGACTTTCACAAAGCACATACCTTGACAAAATTTTGAAAAAGTTCAAAATGGATCAGGCAAAGAAAGGATTCTTGCCTATGCTACAAGGTGTGAAGTTGAGTCAAACTCAATGCCCGACCACAGCAGAAGATAGAGAGAAAATGAAAAATGTTCCCTATGCTTCAGCCATAGGCTCTATCATGTATGCAATGCTGTGTACCAGACCTGACGTATGCTTAGCAATAAGCTTGGCAGGAAGGTACCAAAGTAATCCACGAGTGGATCACTGGACAGCGGTCAAGAACATCCTGAAATACCTGAAAAGGACTAAGGATATGTTTCTCGTATATGGAGGTGACAAAGAGCTAGTCGTAAATGGTTACGTCGATGCAAGCTTTGACACTGATCCGGACGATTCTAAATCGCAAACCGGATACGTGTTTTCATTAAACGGTGGAGCTGTAAGTTGGTGCAGTTCTAAACAAAGCGTCTTGGCGGGATCTACATGTGAAGCGGAGTACATAGCTGCTTCTGAAGCAGCAAATGAAGGAGTCTGGATGAAGGAGTTCATTTCCGATCTAGGTGTCATACCTAGTGCATCGGGACCAATGAAGATCTTCTGTGACAATACTGGTGCAATTGCCTTGGCAAAGGAATCCAGATTTCACAAGAGGACCAAGCACATCAAGAGACGCTTCAATTCCATTCGGGACCAAGTCCAAGTGGAAGACATAGAGATTTGCAAGATACATACGGATCTAAATGTTGTAGACCCATTGACTAAGCCTCTCTCACGAGCAAAACATGATCAGCACCAAGACTCCATGGGTGTCAGAATCATTACTATGTAATCTAGATTATTGACTCTAGTGCAAGTGGGAGACTGAAGGAAATATGCCCTAGAGGCAATAATAAAGTTATTATTTATTTCCTCATATCATGATAAATGTTTATTATTCATGCTAGAATTTATTAACCGGAAACATGATACATGTGTGAATACATAGACAAAACTATAGTCACTAGTATGCCTCTACTTGACTAGCTCATTAATCAAAGATGGTTATGTTTCCTAACCATAGACATGTGTTGTCATTTGATTAGTGGGATCACATCATTAGGAGAATGATGTGATTGACATGACCCATTCCGTTAGCCTAGCACTTGATCGTTTAGTATACTGCTATTGCTTTCTTCATGACTTATACAAAGTTCCTGCAACTATGAGATTGTGCAACTCCCGTATACTGGAAGAACACTTTGTGTGCTACCAAACGTCACAATGTAACTGGGTGATTATAAAGGTGCTCTACAGGTGTTTCCGAAGGTACATGTTGAGTTGGCATAATTCGAGATTAGGTTTTGTCACTCCGATTGTCGAAGAGGTATCTCTGGGCCCTCTCGGTAATACTCATCACCTAAGCCTTGCAAGCATGTAACTAATGAGTTAGTTATGAGATGATGTATTACGGAACGAGTAAAGAGACTTGCCGATAACGAGATTGAACTAGGTATTGGATACCGACGATCAAATCTCGGGCAAGTAACATACCGATGACAAAGGGAACAAAGTATGTTGTTATGCGGTTTGACCGATAAAGATCTTCGTAGAATATGTAGGAACCAATATGGGCATCCAGGTCCCGCTATTGGTTATTGACCGAGAATGGTTTTAGGTCATGTCTACATAGTTCTCGAACCCGTAGGGTCCACACGCTTAACGTTTCGATGACAGTTTTATTATGAGTTTATAAGTTTTGATGTACCGAAGTTTGTTCGGAGTCCCGGATGTGATCACGGACATGATGAGGAGTCTCGGAATGGTCGAGACATAAAGATTGATATATTGGAAGCCTATATTTGGATATCGGAATGGTTCCGGGTGAAATCGGCATTTTACCGGAGTACCGGGAGGTTACCGGAACCCCCCGGGGGGTTAATGGGCCTACATGGGCCAAGAGGGAGAAGAGGGAAGGAGCCAGGAGGGGGCCGCGCGCCCCTCCCCCTCCTAGTCCGAATAGGACAAGGGAAGGGGAGCGGCGCCCCCCCTTTCCTTCCCCTCTTCCTCCTCTTTCCCCCTTCTCCTACTCCTACTTGGAAAAGGGGAGTCCTACTCCCGGTGGGAGTAGGACTCCCCCCTTGGCGCGCCCTCTAGGCCGGCCGCCTCCCCCCTGGCTCCTTTATATACGGGGGCAGGGGGCACCCCAAAGACACACAAGTTGATCTACGGATCGTTCCTTAGCCGTGTGCGGTGCCCCCTTCCACCATATTCCACCTCGGTCATATCGTCGCAGAGTTTAGGCGAAGCCCTGCGCTGGTAGAACATCATCATCGTCACCACGCCGTTGTGCTGACGGAACTCATCTCCGGAGCTTGGCTGGATCGGAGGCCGGAGATCGCCATCGAGCTGAACGTGTGCTGAACTCGGAGGCTCCGTACGTTCGGTGCTTGGATCGGTCGGATCGTGAAGACGTACGAATACATCAACCGCGTTGTGCTAACGCTTCCGCTTACGGTCTACGAGGGTACATGGACGAACACTCTTCCCTCTCGTTGTTGTGCCATCACCATGATCTTGCGTGTGCGTAGGAATTTTTTTGAAATTACTACGTTCCCCAACAGTATTTGTGTTTGTTCAATGATGATTTCAACAAGTTGTTTACTTATTTCACTTGTTGTTTCTACTTTGTATATCCATACAAAGAAAAGGAACAGGTTACAATGGAAAAGGTTGAATGATCTTGTCTTTGTTTCATACAACCGGAAGAATATGCAATGGTTTCAAAAGAGGCGTGAGAAGGTGGGCGAGAATAGATTTGAGGCTTTGGTCATTGAGGATTTTGATTGGGGCAATGAGTGGGTGGACCCATCACTATCACAACCTCAAGGTGCTCGAGGTTGTCCTGATGACAATCAAGACATTACATGGGAGGATGTTGATGTGGCTATTGGTGCATCTTCAAACCTTCGAGGCCGCAATCTGCATAGGACGGCAACTACAGTTCGTAGGGGCCAGACAATGCAACACTACGCACGCAAGAGACCTACTACAACACGACCTATAGTTCCTGAAGAAGATGAGGCAGAGGAGGGCTTGGAGCAAGAACAACACTCAAGTACGCCCAATGCGGAGGGGGAGGATTCAGACTACGTTGAGGATGATGATGATGTGAGCAATGACGATCAAGAGCCAACTCATGTTGACCAAGATGGTGAAGACAGCACCAATGCCAATGAGTTTGATGATGATGACTTTTGATTGAGACTTTGTGAGTGGAGAGACATGAGAGAGCTGAGTTGGCCACCTTTATCCCTTTTGCTATGCTGGAATTATCTATTATTCTGTTTGTCTTATGATGTGGACCTTTCACCTTTGTTATGTGGACTACTGGACTTGTGTCATTTGAATTGGTTAATGGTTATGTAATATGTATGGCATGCATTGCAGATTGCAGTTGCACTCATACTTGCTATCTTTCTTTCCACTTTTGCTCGCTGCCTCACTTTTATTTCTATTTTTTGTGGAATGTGCACTGGTAAGTGATACATTATTCTAAAATATTTGTTCATGACTTCATGTTGATGCAGAATTCTGCTGGGGAGAAAAGCAAATGCAAAGAGGATGGGAATGGATGCTATATGGGCTCTACAACAATCAGTTGCAAGGTGTGTATGGCTGTATGCCTAGTTGCTTAATGCCTAATTGCCTACCAATTTCTACTTAATTCTGTTGCTTACAAGTCTCTAAGGCGTCGTCTCGCCTTATGCCTTACCGCTTAGGCAGTGAGGCGCCCCCCCAGCGCCTCGCCTCGCCTTACCGCCTTAAAAACATAGATCTTCATAATGCAAAGTAACATAGTGCTAGTGTCATAGATGACTTCATTAATTAACTTGTAGACTCATCCTTTCTCGGGAAGCGCTATGTTATAGTAACATATTATGTTACTCTAAACACCTCTCTCCTCATTAACTACATGTCACATAAGCAATGACTAGCCTTATGATACTCCCATTATGACCAGCCTCATGGACACATGACGACGGCGGCGGCAACTACTCCTAATCTCACGCACGTAAACGCCAATCATGGACTGGAGAAAGCAGTTAGGCAGCTCTAGGAGATAAGATCGGAGGCTTCTCCGTAATATGGACGCTACTGGGCTTTTTTCTATGGGCTTTTGTGAACTTTTCTTATTGCATACACGAGAGATAGGGGGGCAAAGTATGCATGTACGTGTTATTTGTCGCTCGTTGTTCACAACTGTTACGAGTGTCGGTCGATGGTTGGGGAGGGGGAAGGGGGCTGGCCCCTGCTCGTCCCCTAGCTCCGCCACTACTTATTAGGATTCGTTGCACAACATATCACTACTGCAAGAATGCCTACCTGTGGTGGACGAGGCTCTCAGAGGTGCCCACCACTCATCTCGTGCCACTGGTCACATGGCATTAGTGGTGGGCGCCACTTGTAGTATATCTGTAGTGGCGAATGGTCATTACTGTGGCGGGCATTGCTTGGCACCCACCACAACTATATGTCCTGTCAGTGGGTGGCACTTTTAGTTGCCCGCCACAAGTAAAATACGAGGCACTAAAAGTAGATGTTGTAAATGTATGCATTGCAATAGATGTATGCTAGAGTAGCAGCAACACATTTTACCATAATACTAATCCAAATTGCAATAGATATATGCATGAAAGTACAATTCACATAACATCATCATAAATAAGTACACAGCCTTCTCAGCAAAGCCTTGCATGTTACATACATATACGACCTCATGGTATCAACAACACCATGATGACAATAAAATGGATAAAGATCAAATTCTTTAGTCATCCACTCATCTAGACGTTCTTGCAAAATTCATGGTTGCTCTTCTCTGTGAGAACGAAGTTGGAGTAATGATCCTCTGCTTCTTTTTAGTCTTATATCCTTTATAGTTGTTGTTCTTGTAACCGTCCACTTATTCCTTGCATTTCTCCCATGGATCGTAGACTACTGGAATTTTTCCCAAGTATACCACATACCACTTCATCTCTGAAGATAAATAAACTATAACAATCTTCATAGCAACATAGATATTACGTTCATAAGCATCGATCATACATATCACATAAAGGCGGTGCACAAGTAGTTCAAAAGCAAAAGTTCAGCTTCGTCATAGCAACACAGTCATTAAGTTCACAAGCATCGATCATGCAGATCACGTAAAGGCAGTGCGCAAGTAGTTCACAAGCAAAAGTTCAACTCCGTCATGAGCCCTTCTCACCTCCAAACATCTTCGTGATCTCGGCTAGGGCGGTCCTCGCAGCTGCGACAGCTACTCGAGCACTCTCGACGGCCGCTCTCACACTCTTAGGTTGTTGAGGTTTGGTTACGAAAACTGGAATTGAATTCTCTTGCAAAGACTTGGTAGAGCCTCTGTCGTAGTAAGCATCCTCTGGGTCACCCCTTGGGGAAAGGGCAGGGAAACTTCGCTATTCAAACCGAATCTCAAAGGTCATCAACCACCCTTGGAGACTTTGCTGCTCCAATTGAGAATTTTATGCATGCATCAATTTGTACAACTTGATCACCCTTGGGGAAAGGGCAGGGAAACTTCGCTATTCAAACCGAATCTCAAAGGTCATCAACCACCCTTGGAGACTTTGCTGCTCCAATTGAGAACTTTATGCATATGCATCAATTTGTACAACTTGATGTCGCTGCCGAGGTCAAGATGGTAGGTCCACTTACCCGCTTTAGTTTTTTTCGCGTGGGTCATCACCTCTTATGATACCATCTATTTCTGTATTTAGGCTTGGGTGGGTCGTCAACGCTTACGTATGCTCCCTACTTCCGGTTTCAACATAATTAGCCTCTGTTTGGTATTTATAATTATTGGTTAGCGATCCTGTTAGCCGCATCTTATATTTTCATAGATTGAGGGGACTTAATCTCCGTACTACCCTTCAATGCAGAGCACTTCCGTCCATTCCTTCTTTTAACACCAACATGAGACTTTTTTTAATATATTTTCCTATGTAACCATACAATGGGTTCATTCATTTCCTAATAAGGCTAAACTGGATCACTCACCCTACGAGTGTTTATTGGTCTTCTATGCAGCTTATTAATTTTAACTCGCAGCCATATTTATATTGACGGGCTTAGGTCTAACGGAGCAAGGTGGTACTCCCTCCGTTCGGAAATACTTGTCATCAAAATGAATAAAAAGGAATGTATCTAGATGTATTTTAGTTCTAGATACATCCCTTTTTGTCTATTTTGATGACAAGTATTTTCGGACGGAGGAAGTACTATTTAAGTAGTTGTGCAAATCCTTTTGAAACAAGACCCATGAACTAGCTTAGCTGTAGCGAACCTTTACGATTGGAGGGTAGGTCAGGGGTTCGGCACAAAGGACGACATGCTAACATTTTTAGTGGACTCCGGGTTGACTCTTGATTTGCCATAAAATTTTAGGACGGACCAAGTATATCACCTCCTTTATTAGTAGAATAGAAAAAAATATATAGATTGGTTTTTTATCCAAGACACCATCGGAAGGAGTAATTTTTTTCGGGATAGTAATTTTTTTAAATAAGACACCATCAAAAGGAGTTTCTTTTGGACTGCCACCAGAAGGAGTTGAAAACGGAGAGGTTGGTCGCCGGCCTTGGCTACCAAAACCAAATTTTTTTCAGGCAAGGCTACCAAAATCAAAGAGACCTCCTCGTCGGCGCCTTCAGCGCCACAACGAGGAACTGGCGCCCACGTGCGCCCCCTTCATGGGCCGGCCCATTAACCCGTCGTGCCCTCGCTTCCCTCCCGCTCGCCTTCATTCGCTCGATCAAACGATCTTGCATTTTGTTTTTTGGGCTGTATTTGTGCTGTCCGTTCAGGAAAAGAAAACAAATCATCGATTTACAAAAAAAAGTTCACGAATTTGAAAAAAAGTTCATCAAATTTCAAAAAACTGTTCATCGGCTTAGAAAAAGCTCATCGAATTGAAAAAAGTTCATCAATTTTTTTAAAAGTTTATCGACTTAAAAATGAGTTCATCGAATTTGAAAAAAGTTCATCGCATTTGCAAAAAAGTTGGCCGAGTTAGAAAAAAGTTCATCGAATTTGAAGAAAAGTTCACTGCATTTGAAAAAATTCGTGAAAATTGGGCAAAAGTTCATCGAAATTGGACAAAAGTTCATCAAACTTGAAAAATAGTTCATCAAATTTTGGAAAAAGTTCATCAAAGTTGAAAAAAAGTTCATGAAATCCGGTGAACTTTACGAATTAGAAAAAAAAGACAAAGAAAGAAAAGAAAGAACAAAAGATATCACAAAATGTTGAGTGGTGGGGTGGTTATCACGTTGGACGCTGAACCCCTATGGCACGGGTTCAAATCCTCCCAGGCATGTCTTTTTTGCATCAGTTTAGAAAAGAAAAAAGGGAATGTGGGCCGGCTCGCGTCCCGCAGGGGGGGTATGCGCCCTGTACCATTAACACGGGAGCTCCTATACAGCGCTGTAAGCACCGACTCAACCTTACTATATAGACAACTTATTATGCTTATTATTTTATGATGAAATGAAACGAAAAAAAAGAAAAATGAATGCACAATATAAAAAACGTGAATTTCAAAGAAAGTTCATAAAATTGAAAAGGTTTGTACAAACTGAAAAAAATTGTGAATTTGAGAGAACTTCAATTTTTTAAAAATGTTCACAAAATTTTGCATCAGTTTAGAAAAGAAAAAAGGGAATGTGGGCCGGCTCGCGTCCCGCAGGGGGGGTATGCGCCCTGTACCATTAACACGGGAGCTCCTATACAGCGCTGTAAGCACCGACTCAACCTTACTATATAGACAACTTATTATGCTTATTATTTTATGATGAAATGAAACGAAAAAAAAGAAAAATGAATGCACAATATAAAAAACGTGAATTTCAAAGAAAGTTCATAAAATTGAAAAGGTTTGTACAAACTGAAAAAAATTGTGAATTTGAGAGAACTTCAATTTTTTAAAAAAGTTCACAAAATTTAGGATAAAGTTCATGAAATTTCGAAAAAAGATCACAATTTTTGAAAAAGTTCATCGATTTTGAAAATAGTTCACCGATTTTGAACAAAAAGAAAAAAGGGAATGACATGTCTTTTTTGCATCAGTTTAGAAAAGAAAAAAGGGAATGTGGGCCGGCTCGCGTCCCGCAGGGGGGGTATGCGCCCTGTACCATTAACACGGGAGCTCCTATACAGCGCTGTAAGCACCGACTCAACCT